GGCATGATATGGTTCATGGGGTCACGAAGAGTCAGACACGACTTAACGACTGAACAACAACCACCACCACCACCCCTTGGACAAAATATATGTAACTGAGTTAAAACCAAGTCCTTAACTGGATTTTTGTTTCCTGATAAGGAAAGTGGAAAATAATTTGAAAAAATGTATTGGGGTTGATGTTGATTACACCTTGGGAGGGCACTTCAGTAATGTAGCATTTTAAATGGCCCTGGAGCCTCTCCCAGGTTTTTAGAAATCTTTTTCTAAAAATGTCCTTTTAAAGGGTGCTTGAAATTGGAAGTATGTGGACTTTTGGAGAGTATAGAATTCCATGTCATCCTGTCTTCTAAGTTCTCATGTTCATTTTTAATAACTGATGATAAGAGGAAAAGTTATTACTTAAGTCTGCAGGCAACTCCCACTAACCTGAACGTCCAATACTGTCTGATGCAGTTTTGGGAGCTTTGGGCTGACTCTGCTTGCTACTTGCCCGTGCAGAAACTGATGGGGCAGGAGAAGGTGGAACTGCAGTGCTGCTGCTCTCTCCTCTAATTGTGGTAAGGTCTTGCATGCTAAAACTCCGGAGCCTCTCTGATAGCGCTCCTTGACCCTGTGAAAATCAATAAAGAGACACAGAATGGCTTTTTGATTTATAGTCATTTAGACATCTTCAAAATAATAGGATATTCACCTAATTTTTTTAAAAAAGGAATGTATACCGAGCAAGCCATTAGTTTGGGTGACAAATTGGACATATCCCATCTCCCTGTTTTCTATAAAACCTTACTATAAAACAGTTCATTTTTTAATTGTCATGTTTTTATGCATATTAGCATGTACACACATTTTATTCATCTACATACTTATATACAACTGTTTCTAAAATCCCTTTTGGGGGTAAATTGCATTGTGACATTTTGAGAAATTTATAAACGTGAATGAATACTCCCAGAAGACTGGTCAGAATGGTATGTTTTTCTTGATAGAGTAACAAGCATTCTGTTCCAGAATTTCAACTCCCCCATTCTGCAGCCACCAAGAATTCAAAGACTGGACTCTACTTTCAGGGCAAAAATGACCTTTCTGGGATTCATCTTTCCTTGCTGGCATTCATAAGGAGTGCATACATAAAAATGCCACAGCATCTTTACTCCCTTCTGATATATTATGACCCATAAATTAGTTGAGGAAGGAATCAAAAAAGCTCATTAGATCATGGGTTCATTTAGTTCAAACTGTCTACATCGCATTGACTGGTGACTGATCTTCAGAATTTCAGACGGGGATCTTCCTCAACCCCTTCTGGAGATGCTAGGGACTGATGTGCAAATAGTGTACTCCACTACTGAATGATGGCTTTTCCATTTAAATGGATATAGAATGGTGGTTGCATTTAATATAGTGGGTTAATCTTTGCTTTGGTCTGTCTTAAGGCACAAGAGTGTGTCCAGTACTTCATTTCTGAACCAACAGCCTTAATTATGCCTTTGTGAACTTTGTAAAAATATTTTTTCTACATTAGATTGAAGTACTGAATATTTAACATTGTAACTCCTACTTAAACCAATTTAACAATGATTATCTTAGGTTCAATTTTACTCTTGATGTTCCCAGTAATTGCTGTCCTTCAAGCATCCACTCACAGAACACTTGGTTCTTACTATCATTCTGCCCCCATAAATTCTTGGGCTTAGTTGTAGATTTTAACTACAGAAACTTATTATCCACAGTTGAAATTTCTTAAGTCTAGTCATATCATAATTACAATATATAGTTCTCTTTCCATATAAAGAACACTGTCCAGTTTTCCCAAGATATTTTTGGAGTATTATATCATAATAGAAAAACAAAAACAAAAAAAATCTTATTTTTCAAAGTGTAACATTGGGCTCATAGATGATAACCAAATTTGGTATTATCTATTTAATAGTCTTGGAAATGTTTTATCCAAAAGGTATCTGAAACTTTTCTCCAATTTTTTGCAGTCCCTTTTCCATTAAAAAATATTTTTCTTATTAATTGCTGGAATCTTCTGCCTTCATATGCTATTGTCAATATTTCTTTTTCTACTGTTCTATTGAATAGTGGTTGTGATCTGAAAATAGATATTACAAGTGTGTCTTTCAGCAGTAATACAACATCTCTTGCTGTAGAATGGACATATAGACACAATGGTTCTTTCATACTGTATACAAACGATTCTAGATAACTTATTTCATCACCAGTATAGTGTTTCAAAGACCAGCTTTCATTAAAACTCAGTGAGTTAATAGTATTTTTTAAAAAGAAACATAATGAAATCAACTGGATTTAAATTAATCATTATTAATTTTGATTTCTATTCATTTCAGTGAGCCTACTCTAACTAAATCTAAAGCATAATTCTAGCTTTTTCTAAACTAGAAATCATACTGACTCCATTTAGCTAATTCCTTCTTCAACCCATACTTTAGAAAAGTCAATACACTACAAATGTACTTTCAGATGTGCAAGACTAATGTCAGCCTTGCGAGGTAGTCCAGACAGGAAACACCCCAAGATGAACTAATTCTACTTTATTGTAAGGCTACATTAACAGAATCTTGCAAGTTTGAAAGTACAGTTCTTCCCCATTGCCTTTACAGCCCCAGAAACTAGGGAGGGTCCCTGCTGAGGCATTGGCCACACCCACATTTCTGCTGCAGGCCAAACTGCCCTGGCTGTGGCTCTTCCCTGTCTCACAAGGTCATTCCCACATGCCATTACAGTGTATGAGAGACAGACAGGGCTCCCAGATCGTGTTACTTTCTAGCAATTTAAAAGGAACAAGAACGAGATGAAAATTAAAATAAATTCCATAGTGCCAACTCCTGGTCCCACAGTGTTGAGGCATATAACTTGCGAAATCTGCTTCTCTTTCCCTTCCTTCTTTGTGTGGAGGTAAACAATCTCACAAGAATTATCTTGAATTAAATTTTATTTAAAAAGGAAAAAAGGAAAAATGCATAAGTTCCTTTTTAGCAAAGGAGTTAAACACTGACAGAATTTGAAAACAACCTATAATGGAAAAATATACAAGAAAATGCCCCTTATGGACTTTTTGCTGAAAACAGGAAAAAAAAATGAACTTGTGATTTATGGGTTTGATGATTAGAAAGGGTAGAATATGGAAGTAAGAGAGCCATGATATAACCTTAGAGAGAGACGAAAAAATATAAATGCATTTATAATTGCTGTAAAGAAGATCAGAAGCCATTCCTTTATATCTTTTTTCTTTTTTCTTTCATTTCTCTCTTATTTACTTATCACTTTTATTTTACTTTCATTTTTCTTTAGAGCTGTATTGTTTTACTTTGCAAAAAAGTATTTAATACAATTAATTAAAAAAAGAAAAATAAATAAAACATTGAAAGACTCTGAGCAGATCACAAAATGCTATTGATCAGCTACTAATACAGAAGTAACTCTGATGTAAAGAGGTGCCAATTTACAAAACACATACAAAGACTGAGTTTCAATAAAGATAGTAATAATTGAAGGCAATACATCTGATGTAAACTTATGGTCACATTCTTCTAGCTAACTGGTTTTGACTTTTCCTCCCAAGGATTTTTTTCTCCCTGTCCCATTTCTCTCTGAGCTTCTATCTCTGAGGATTCCAGTCAGTTAAATTCGGAGGTTGCGTGGGAGATGGCAGATACCGTGGTTCTCTT